TTTTTTTTTATTTTTACAGATTATGTTCTTATGACCATTAATCATCGTTATAACAATTTGGTCGCGATAATTTAGTATTTCTAATAAATTGTTAACAAGCTTTACGTCAGACTTGTTTACTGCAATTCTGTCGCATTAATTTTGCACAAGATCATTATTATGGTTACTAAAATCATCATACTCTTTCTTTTTATATTAATTTGATTTTCTGCGTTTTAACGTTATATTAGACAGACAGATAGATTTTTTTTAATGTTCTTTTATTTAATTAAAAAAAAAAAAAAAAAAAAAAAAAAAAGTAAAACAAGAAAAGCAAAACGAACGACAACGTTATAACTCGGGGATCGACGGTGTACACGTTTACAAAGATTATTCTCGTAGATTTGGGAAATTCCTGAGAATTTACTGAAAAAGATGGCAATATAGGTATATTTTGTATAAAGAAAAAAGATGCTTCAGAAATGTGAGTATAAGTAAATACGAACGACAAAGCCTTTTTAAAATCTCCAAGTGTTGTAGGAAAAATTTAGGAAATCTCTCCTGTATTTTGTCGAATTTCTGCAAATTGTTTAGTTCTTTAACGTGCAAATACTTCGTCAGTCCTTTATCATCATATTCTCCAAAAAATTTGATTCTCATCTAGCGTAGATTAATTCGAATCTTCAATATTATTTTAAGGAGTCTTCGATCGCTTATCTGTATCATCTTTATGTCTGATTGTTGTTTGTTTCGCTAGCAAAAAAAGAAAAAAAAAATTTCTGTTCAAATCTGAAACTAATTAAAAAAAAAACAAAAAAGAATTTCAAATTATATCATACATTTGTAACTATCGTTGTAGCTTTTTCTATTGAAAATTATCGATTAAATATCTAACAAAATTTATTTAAAGAGAAAAATTCTTAAATTATTGATATCATTTATATTAATATTTTTCTTTTATGACTTTTACTCAGACAGTTATATTCAAATAAAAAAATGTCCATTCCTAATACGATAGACAGATATTTTTTGCGACGGTAATTGAAGATAATTTTAAGGAAATGAATACGTTTGTAGTGTTATTATATACGAAGAAGATTGTACAAGGCTGTATCTATTTTCAGAAAAATATAGAAAGAAAGACTCCTCGATCAAATATGAAGATTATCCAACGAAGTATTGCAATATTATCTTTCTTTTATCTTTCCTTTCAATTCCCTTAACATTTCCATTACATCAAAACTTCTCTCTCTCTCTCTCTCTCTCTCTCTCTCTCTCTCTCTCTCTCTCTCTCTCTCTCTCAACCTTCTAATTTGTCTGTAATAAACGTATATACAAAGTGTACACGCTCCGATAATTCAGAGAAGGATGCGTTTGGTACAATATATATATATGTATATATTATATCCTAACCGAGATCTGTAACGATTACAATTGGATTGGACCATGTTTGAAAGTACCGATACAGAGAACATTGAAAAAGGAGAATTCTTTTTCTTTTTTTTTTTTTTTTTTTTTTTTTTTTTTTGGACGAAATCGAACTTTTATTGTCAACGATCCGTTTCGCTCGTGATAACAAGAGAGAGAATTTACAAACGAAACAATCTGGTCGCTCTCAGAAATGATTGTTTCGAGAAAGAAGAAAAGAAAGAAAAAAAAGAAAAAAAGAAAAAAAAAGAGAAAAAGAAGAATAACATTATTAAACGTCAAAAATTATTAAAGCATGATAGGAATTTTTTTTTTCCTTTTTTCTTTTTTTTAAAATAGTATGCGATAGCAGTTAGCCGTAAGTTCTTTTCCGTCACGGTACGTTCAAACGATTTCAGCGAGGCGAGGATTTTTCATGGATATTTCATGGATATTTTATGGATTGATAAATGTTAAGGGCTAAATCCCCACAATGCGGAATTTTAGAATCACATGAAATACGACGATTTAACATGGCACTGTATTTTTCTATAGAGAACATAGAATATACGCGTAAAACAGATTTGTTGTCGGAATGTGACGTTGTATCATTGATCATATGTGTTATTTCTATGCCGCAATGGTTTGTTATTACTCATATATTCATTCTGTTGACGGTAGATAATATATACATACACAAATTTAAGTACGTAACACGTTGTTCGCACACGTACAATTTTATATATATATATATATATATATATATATATGTATATGCATGTATATGTATGTGTTCGGATGAGTGGAGAGGTAGGAGAGGGTGTAGTTTTGATTGTTCGTGTTTATCAGAGACGTTTAAAAAGAAACGGTGTTTTATTTTTTTGTTAATTTGCTGTTTTTTTTCTTTTTTTGCTTTTTTCCATTTTTTTCCATTTTTTTTTGTTTTATTTTTATTTTTTTATTTTTTATTATTATTATTATTTTTTTTTCTTCAATAATACGAACAGAACGCGATAGAGGAGGATGAGAAAGATTATTTAACGGGACGCGATTACAGAAATTTTATACACATTCTCGCGGATTAGAAAAAGATCGTTTTGGAAAGCCATTTTTTTTCTTTTTATTTTTTTTTCTTTTTCTTTTTTTTTCTCTTTTAGGATCCGAAAGAAGAATCTAGAAGAAAAGTATTAAGTTAGAAAAGTCGTCGAGGATACAGAGAAGAAAATTGAGAATTTATTCGTCCGTCCGCGTATATATGTACATTTAAACACGAAATCGAATGGTAAATAGTGCGGCTTCGACATAGAAACTCGCTTTTGATTGAGCGAAACAACGGAGTACTGGTTGGACACATCAAATGCATTTTGCTTTGCGTCGTTCACCGCAGACAAGATCAAATTTTGATTAGACACGCCAAACGATTTCCATTGTTCGACTATGCGCTAGCAAATCAGAGAGAAGGAAAATCACACATATGTACGTATTATCGCTAGCATCGAATGTGTTACGAGCTCGCGCCGCTTAATCGAATCGCATTTCGAGATTTGCTTTAATATTTAGAACATTCCTAGAATATACTCATGGGAGTAAGGGAGAGTGGTTGAGGTTGGATTAGAAGGCGACACAGAGCAAAATTAGGTGACGATCATGCGACACAAGACACAAGAATAGCATTTAATAATAATTTCGTTTTTTCTTTTTTTTCTTTTTTTCTTTCTTACTTCTTTCCTTTTATTTTCTTTATTTATTTCTTTTTTTCTTTCTTTCTTTCTTTCTTTCTTTCTTTTATGCATGATCATGCGATAGAGAAATGTGCGATCTTTCGAAAAATAACTTCTTCGTATTTTTTCTTCTTTTCTCTTTTATTTTCTTTTTTCTGTTTTTTATTTTTCAGTTTTTTTTTCTCCTATTTTCTTTCTTTTTTTTTTTCGTTTTTCTTTCTTTTTTTGTTCTATTTAAATACTTTGATTGCGTACGATAGGTTAATAACCGCGAGATCGATTATCTCGAAATCTCTTTTTCCATCTTTTTTTTTGTTTTTTTTTTGTTTTTCATTTTTTCGTCGAAAGGAAACGTGTGGAATAAAGTGTTATCCTGTTGTGTGTGTTTCATACATATGTGTAACTATTTTTCGGAGCCAATGTGTAATAATAATAATAATAACAACAATAATAATAATAATAATAATAATAATAATAATAATAATAATAATAATAATAATAATAATAATAATAATAATAATAATAATAATAATAATAATAATAATAATAATAATAATAATAATAATAATAATAATAATAATAGTAATAATAATAATAATAATAATAATAGTAATAATAATAATAATAGTAGTAATAATAATAATAATAATAATAATAATAATAATAATAATAATAATAATAATAATAATAATAATAAATGGATCGCGTTGGGATTATAATATTGATGGCGTACGTTTCTGATTATCCTTCTCGTTTACCCTGATCGAAAGTCCAATTTTCTGTAATTATTATTTTCTTATTTTCTTATAATTCGACGTTCTTCGGTTTTTTTTTCTTTTTTATCACCATACATTTGATATTCTTCCCTTTTTAGCATTAAATCCATTCCAAAGTATACAACGGTATATATAGGTATAACGTTATGTATGTACTTAATAAGTGTCTCATATAATATAATATTACTTTGACAATTGTGTTCTTCTTTTGTTGTCCTCGCACAGCAACGTACGTACGTACATACATACACAATAGGTGAAAAAAGTCTTTAGAGGAAAATAGGTTACTTTTCTTTTTTTTTTTTTTTCATCTTCAGTAAATTGACAAGTAGATAGAGTTGTATCTTGTGTATATGTAGCGTGTAAACACGAGGAGGCGCTTTTACTTTGTTCTACTGCTGCTACTGCTGCTTTTGTTGCTGCAGTTGCTTGCGCGTTTCCCTCTCTTTTTTTTTTCTTTTTCTTTTTTTTTCTTTTTTTACTTTTAATTCTACTACATTTACTCACATTATGTAACTCCATACAATTCGATCGTCCGATCTTTATCTCATAAAATCATAAATTCTCATGGATCACTTCAGACAAACCCTTGAACTTTAGTTCAAGATCTATAAGAGTTTTATTCGATCGTTTATCATATACATATGTATTATACTTAGACGACTCGAAAATATTTTATTGATTCTTTCAAAGAGGATCTCCACGTCTAGCGGCCATCTTTGCAGCTCTAGTGGCCAAAGCACCCAACGAACAGACTAATCCCGTTAAAGTTTCCCACAAAGTGGTTCTACGTCGCTTATGAGCTGTCTGCCCGACGTAACCTAAATAATAAGCTTGATAAAGATCGGTTCCACGATCGGATATACTGTCCGAACGACCGATGCTCGATCTCTTTGGCTGTTGAATGATACTACGTCGATGTTCTTCGGTACGATCGACGCTCTGCCTTGGCGATTCGCTGTTGTTTCTTAATTGATATTGATGTTCAATTTCATAGAGATGTTGCTGCAATTGGACGTTACTCAATCGACGATCCATCATTCGTACAAGATTCTGATGAACCCGGCGATCATTTTCTTGAATGACCGGCAACTGACGTCTACAGCCACCACTCGCCGTTTCATTAACGAGATCCACTTGTCAGGCGTATTCGGTATCAGTAGATGTTGACCTTTCGAGATGAGGTTGATGACTGGTATGCCGTGGTTGACCCTGTTGTTGCTGTTGTTGTTGTTGATGCTGATGTTGTTGCTGTTGTTGTTGTTGTTGTTGATGTTGTTGCTGTTGAGCTTGTGCAAAAGCAAGACTCTTCTGATAGCTAAAGAGTTGTCTCTCGAGGCTATAGTTTTCAGCTTGTAAAGATGCTATCTCACGTCTCATTTGTTGATTGTGAATACGGCAGACGTCGTCGTATTTGTGATAAGTCGCTTGAAAGAGCAAATGGCTCTCATTCCATTCCAATCTGATCCTTAATTGCTTCTTGTCCGTAAGGAATGGACTGTGATTGTCCTTGATCTCATTCGTGTCCAAATTCGTTTCCATAATTATACCTTCATCAGCGGATTCTTGAGCGTAATAACGACTGAATGGTGCACCTGGTAGACTCATCGCAACTGTATCAGGTTCCTCGCCTCTTAATAAATAAGCCGACCAATTTACGTATCTGAAATAATAGTAGAACATGGTATGTTTCATATTAAAATATAAACGAGAAACTTTTTCTTGACAGATAAATATATACGTATGAAATAAAATTTACCTCAGATGATTTCTTGGTACATGATTGATATCTTTATAAATCAGATGGAGTCTAACCGTTTCCGAATGGAGATCAGCCCTTACGACCCAAGCTTGCTTGTCACGATCGTAGCAAGGAGTAGGAGACAAAGCAGGTGGACCAAGAGCTTGCACAGCTACCTCGCAGATAGTTCTTGCTTCGACCATTTCAAGTGAGACTCGGAGAACACCTTTATGAGCGATTTCTGACCATCTAACTCTTGGATGCCATCCAAAACCGTAACCTTCAGCATTCGAGAGATCTTCTATATGGCCAGAATCGATTCTACGATCTCCTTCGCCCAATGCCACGCTGTATCTTACTCTGCATCGATGATCGAATCCCGTGAGTCTCATCAAATAAACGCTCACGCGATTCTCCTGACCCCGACAACCCTCTGCTTCTTTATTCCCATAAGGATAGATAACGACGCTCCAATCAAAACCACCAAATGTGAAGCAATCGGTCTCAAGTTTATTTGATTTTGGCTGACCCGTTGAAAAGACTCCGGTTGGCATTCTAACTTCTGTCATGTATACCGTACGTACATTCGCCATTGACAATTCCAACTGGAATTCGCCATTCGTATCAGCAAAGTTACGAGTGTAGAGGTCTGATACTGGTATGTAATTGCGGTTTCCTTGAGCCGGTAATTCGTACGTGAATTTAACTCGTTTCCCTGAGAAACCTTCGTTCATCGAGAAGTGTTCCCGGTTCAACAACGTGAACGTAAAGTCGACGTAAACCCGAAGATTCCTTGATGCACCTCGCCATACCAGATATACGCCTAATACCTGAGACAGAAGAACAAGTTAGAAATTGTCTGTTCGATCGAATTTGTCGGATGATTTTTTTAAAAATTGAGTATGCATTTAAATAATTTTCTTTAGAATGAGAAAATGGACGAGGTATTAATGCTTGAGAATGTTAGGATGCCATCGCAAGCTTGTGAATAAAACAATAACCAAGGATGATAATAATGGAATATAAATTGTTATATTTAATAAGGGAAGTGATAAAAGAGTAGTTAATTTGCAAGTAAGTAGATATACTTGAGATAAAATATAAAGGTAAGCAAAATTTTCATAGGTCATTGCATATTCTACGAGACAATGTCACGATTTTATGGAGAGTCTGTTACGAAATGAATTGAAAAATTCTCGTTTGTACGAGAATTTATTTTTTTTTTATTGTCATCATACCATTAATAATTAATTGTTACTTTATTAAATTATATATTATTTTTTATAAAATTTTGTATTAAATTTAATATATTGATCGTATGTATTTACCTTGTCTCCCCGTGAAAAGGCTACTGCCCATCTTTGGAAGCCACAAACAAGTTCCTTACTGGTAACGTCTCTTTCTGGATCGCGTACGACACTCCGGGTGACGACAAATGAAAAAACCCGCGTGCCGCTGCGATCTGGCAGTTGCACGAATCTGTAAAGTAGAGCCATCACCGCATCTCGATGATTCCACTTCGAGTAACTCCTTTAAGGTTATCGCAGAAAATGTTACTATGTTTCTGTTTTTTTTTTTTTTTGTTTTTTTTTTTCTGTAACAAAAAGAATATAGCATATAGAATTTATTTTTAATATCGAAAGTGTTTCTTTTTCTTTTTCTTCTCTCTCTCTCTCTCTTTTAAAACGTTAATAACGCAAATAATGAATATAAATACTGATGAATGTATCCTTTAAAGTAGTCAATGTAAAAATGATTTAAATCTTGAATAAGAAGGATGAATACTTTTATACGGGAAGATACGTTTTTTTCATTTACGTGGGTATAAATGAAACGAGAAATAATAAAAGAAAAAAAAAAAAAAAAGAAAAAAAAATAAAGAAAAAAAGTAAATTATATGAGTGATCTTTGAAAATATTAATTTTTAGTGCGAAATGTCGTAGAATACTTGAAATGTATGTAAGAATTGCTTAACAACATTCAAATTCACTTTAAAAGCTCCCTCTCTTCATTCTACTATCCCACCTCATCCTCACTCTTTAGAGATTTAATCCGATTTCATTTTGAAAAGTATTCCCGCGTTTCGCGGACTACCCCTTTGTGGTATTAATTACCACGTATTGCGAAGGATTATTTTTGGTTCGAATTATAAAAGCGATATATCTACAATACAGACTTTATCTTTAGGATTTCTCTACATTTCGAAATCTGCGAGATATTTATATAATTTTAAAATCAAAATGAAATATTGAAAAAGGTATATATGAAATGACAATAACGTGTTCGTTTCATATCGAATCGACTAGCGCTATTTGTCACTTATTATCGACGTTCAGACGACGTCACGTGGATTAATGAACAAAATTACAGTAATTTTAGAAAAATGTAAATAATAAAGAAAGGGGATATATATATAAAAATCTGTGAATTAAAATTGATCAGTAAAAATATACTTTTATTGGATTCTTTCTCTTTCTCTCTCTCTCCCTCTCTGTCTCTATTTCTCTTTCTTTCTTTTTTTTTTCTATTTCTTTCCTTTTTAGAATTCATTTGAAATATAGGTTAGTAGTTTCGGTTATGTTTTAATGATCGAAGAAACTCTTTATAGTAGAGATATATATGTGTTTTTAATTGTTTTAGAAAATGTCGCGATCTATTAGCGAGCGCAAACAAAAAAAGGATGGAGGAACTGAAATATTTCAGGAAAAGATTCTTTATCGAGAATGGGCTCGTCGTTTTACTATGCTGGAGAAATATACCCAGGCGATAACTTATTTTCAAAAAGCAATACAATTGGCCGACGACGACAAAGACGTAAGGTTGTTTCTTGGCCTTTGCAAAGCCCAGTTCAATTTCACCAGATATAGTATAGCCGTTCAGATTTCTGAGAAATGCATGGAAATAGGTATAATTATAATTAATATTATAATTTTTATATATACAATAATATAATATTATTATTAATATAGATATATCATAACAGTACATGTATATAAATTTAAATATTAAATAATTATAAATAAATAAAAAAGTATATATATATATATATATATATAAATCATATACCTAGATATGAGAAAAATACAATAATAGTAAAAAAAATAATAATAAAAAAATTACTTGCCTAATATGAATACTTTGTAGATCCTAATAATCATCAGGTAAAAGAAATGAGAGTGAATACGCTTTACCGAATGGGCGAATTTTGCTATAGTTTGATTCATGCTTACAATGGTTTACGACAACGTAAAATGCCTTTCGAATTATACATTTATCGGGCCAATGAAACAATAGAAACTTGTGTCGGTCGAAACACTGTACCAGATGCTTTGAAACGTCTTTTACCGTGGATCAAAAAGTTGGAAGAGTATCGCAAAGTATTGATCGAGAAGCTCAGTGTGGAACCAGACGAATTCGAAGGTGAGAGGAACTGCAAGAATGGAAGACTTCAATCTGAATTCTAAATTCAACTATTCTACGTTATCGTTTCAAATTTTGATTTGAATCTTTTTGATTCTTTTTCTTTTCTTTTTTTTTTTTTTTTTTTTTTAAATCGAAAGTCAAAGTTATTATGTTATTATTAAATTAGTCATATAATTATTGAATTGGTTAATAAATAATGCAGAAATTTTCAATGAAAAATATTAGTATTTAACGAAGTAGATTCAATATATTTTATTTATTAAAAATACCAATATTACCGTATATCAAATTTCCATTAGATAAAGAATTACTATAGTAATTGTCAATAAAAAATATTGATTCATTGTACTATTCTAAACATTAATATTTTTTATTGAAAATTTCAACATTAATCATTAAACTTGTAATTATATAAAAGATAATTGATAGTAAATAAATATATATATATATATATATATATATATATATATATATATATATATAATATTAAAAATTCCGACATACAATTCAGTTCAATGACATATCAAAGTCTGAATACGATAATGTTAGATGTAAAAAAATAAATAAGCAAGAAACCAAATTGATGGACTATCATTAATTGACTCGACGACGATTAGGAATTGATGAGGATCAATCAAAGTTCAAGGTGAACGATCCAGTTGCTAAAGAAGAAATGTACAATGCAAAGCTGCGAAAAACCATAGCCAGGGTTTATTTACGTCATATGGCTGTCGAAAAAGAGTTTCGTCAACAATTGCTTGAAGACAAACAAACTTTCGAATCACCGAATAAAGAATCGTCGAAGATGTTGCTACATATCCTGCAGGAAAGTTTTAAAAATACGGAATTTCGTCAGAGTATTATACGAATGACATCGCCAATTTACGTAATGCTCTTCGCTAGAAGCGCAAGAACATTTGGTCACAAAGTGATGATTAAAAATGAAAAGAAAATTAAGAAATGTAACATCATCATACTTGCGGACTTTTTATTACGAAGCTTACATGCTGCAAGAATGGAAGGAGATTATTGTTTATTTTTCAAGTATAACTCTTTGAACAAAATTTTAATTTTTTTTTTTAAAATTGGATATTTTTCTCAAAAATTACTTTTTTTCTTTAAATTATATATGTATATATATATATTTTTTTATTTTTTATTTCTAGATTATATTTTTATTTCTTTTTCATATATTTTGTTTTTTTATAATAAAACACACCTTGTCAAAGATTATATTTTGACAGAAATTTAATATAATTTTTTCATTTTGTTAAAAATTCTATTTTTTCGGTTCTTTTCTTTTGGCTTTTTTTTTTGATATCTAATCTTACCTTATTCGAAATTATTAAAAATATCGTTTATCTTATTTTCTAATTGGTTCGAGTCCATATAAATAATAAAATAATGAAAGTTATATATACGTACATATATGAATATTCATATACTTTTATTTATTTTATTTTTGATCTAAAAAATATCAACATAAATGTAAAATATTAATCGAAATATCATTCCATGTGTTGTTATCTATTGATTGATTATTCAAACCTTAAAGCAAATACTACGCACATTTGGCAATCAGTATGATTTTATTTGTTCAGTCTTGTTACTACCCACGTGACATACGACCGATACGATAAAGATGCAATGTTACGTCAGAAATGACATACGATCGATAAGGATTCAAGTGATTAAGTTTTATGGAACATCTTGCATATTGTTCCAGAACAATCGGGAAATATTCAATGAAATACAATAGATCCCCGTATAACACGGTTTCGTACAATATAGATTCATATAACATGACACCAAAATTGTGAATGGTGTTCCTATAACATAGTAAAAAAAAGGACTCGTGTACTACAGTAAAAAAAGACTGGTATAACAAGATACACAGATATATATATATATATTTGATGACTATTATATCGTTTGACGATTGTATCGAAAAGACTGCAGTCAAGTATACAAGAAAAAAGAAAAAAAAAAGAAAAAAGAACAGAAAAAAAAGAAAGAATCATTAATACATAACTTATAACTCTCTAATCTTTGTTATTAATAATTTAATATTAGTAAAAAAATAACTTTTTTCTTTTACAACTATAACTTCGAGGTATAAAAGAAAAAGTTTAAAAATAACTAAAAATTTTAAATTGTTTATAATAAAGTTATAACTAACTTTTATAAATATACTATAATTTCGAATCCAAATATATATATATATATTATATATATATTTATATATAATCTATATCTGTTTAACTTATGTGCCTCCTATAAACTTATTTCCCGTGTTATACGGAGTCCTCCAAGGAATACAATTAAAATAAAGTTACTTTTATCAGATATTTTTTCAACATTGATCAATCTTCCTCCTACGCTATTTTAGATACGTCGAACGTATAAAGGACAAATTTGATTCGTACTCGAACAACATGTTCCCGTTAAAGCAGAAATGTCTGAATGCTCTTTATAAAATGATAGCGTGGGCGTATATCGATACGAGGAATTTGATGAGTCTACGTGATGAAGAAACGAAGATAAGATATTTGAAGCATCATTTAAGAGTAGGCACAACAAGATTACCACGTCAAAGAGAGTTAGCGTGGGTGAAGATCAATACGCGACAAAATGCACTTAAAACGTTTCGCCAACGATTGTCTGTTGCTTCGGAACCCTTAGAATTGGCTTGGCTTTTTCATGATTTTTCTAAGTTTTTGATTGAGATTTATCGTTTCGATCTTGCACGATATTATGCTAAAAAGGCGCGTGACTCTGCCGTCGAAGCTAAATGCGAACAATGGATATTAAATGCCAGTCACATGATGATGTTAGTCGAGATCTGTCAAAACAATCGAAATGAAGCAAAGGAGGCTGCTATTAATGCGATAGCCAGTGCTAAAAAGCTTGGTATCGATTATCTGGTAATATACGTGAATATAAATACATTTATATCAACAAATTTTTCTCCCTTCGAAATCTTTTTCACTTGATATAATTATTCATCATAATTTAAGTTTTAACGTTTCTTAGATAGACAAAAAAATTCGGATTTTTTATTTACGATATATTTAGTAATAATACAATTTATCGATAATAATACTAATAATAATAATAATAATAATAATAATAATAATAATAATAATAATAATAATAAAAGAAAAAAGGAAA